CAGCAGGGAGGCCGGAGCGGGTTCGCCCAGCAGTGAGGGCTGCCCGGCTGCTCGGGGCTCTTCGGGCTCTTCCCCGGCCGGTCTCCGGGGCCCGGCAGCTCCCAGCCCTGCTCCCCGGCCCGGGTCCCGCATGCTGCTAATTGCATCTGCTGGCTGGGGCCGGGCGGAGGGCGCAGAGCACTTCCACAGCTCATTAAAGCACTGCCGCAGCTCAGTGAAGCGGTGTCCTTTTGTCCTCTCGCTCCTTTTCATCTTAATTGACGGAGAGGGACGGTCAGTTTGCTCTACAGAAGGGAAAGCGGGACAGGGAAGATCCCGATGGAATGGAGGCAGCTGCGAAATCACTACAACAGAGCTTCTGGAAGGCAGGGACTGCAGCATATGCTCATCTAGGCAGAGGACCGTGAAAGCGGTGCTGGGGAGACCTACTGAAGTTCAAGTAATGAAACACAAAGCACTGTATTCTGTAACAAGTGCTAGGAGACAATTAAACTAGCGGGCCAGGGATGCGGCACATCTGCTTAATGTCTTGGTTTCCTAATGGTAGGACCAGGCACAATGGTAGATCGACAACCTCGGTGTGTGGTTTGTTTCTATTAAATGATAATGTCTCTCATTTAGTGCAGGGGACCCTCCTCTGGGCTCCTGGCAGCACATGATGAGATACATTAACTTACTGCTGCATGCCACGACTTCTAGCATGATACAGCACTCTAAGAGGTTTTCCAAAGACTTTTTTCATTAAAAACAAAATCAAAGATGTCCTGCTCTGTGGCTGGCACTGCTGATGTAAACTGTTCCTATTTGGTTTACATTTAACAGCAGGACTGGGCAGGGTATTAAAATCAGAATGTGGAGCAAACTGGAAAATGTTCAATAAAGATCTGAGCTTCAGGGACTGTCGGTTAGCAAAAGGAGGATGAAGTTCTGTACCTAGGAGGAAAAATAAGTGCAAGTATGAAGCAGGCATGTGAAACCACTGTTTTCCCACCCACGTAGCTGCAGGAAGGCAGAGGAAAGGTGTTCCTGAGGGCATATGGTACACAGGATGATTTTTTTTTTTCAAAATCGTTCTGCCTCTAATGCTTTTTCATATCACAAAGTTTTGGGGATTTCCCTTTCCCGGCCCGGTGGAGGGTCTTGCTATGGAGGTGGCATTGGCAGCCAGGTTGCAGATTCACCTCTGGCTGGAGGTCGAGACAGGAGCTCCGTAAGGAAGGGACAAACCAAGACCAAAAGCACAAGGACATGCGGGAAATCCAGAGGCAGAGCCAAGGCTGGACACCAGAATGCCTGTGCCCTGCGGGGGAGGCAGGAGGAAGGACGGCACGAGGTGGCTCAGGGCAGGTTTGGCAGGACACGCAGCCGTGAAGACTCTGTCCCCAGGTGCCTGGGTGTCCCCTGAGCAGCCAGTCCAGGGCAGAGCCTCACAGCATCCGTGAGACAGCAGCACCCGCCGCTGAGCCGTCAGCTGCTGACCTGCGACACAGCAGTGGTGCTGTGAGGGTGGCACGGATGGGATAACGTGACAGCCTGAGAGCACCTCCCTGTTTTCAAGTCCTTCTATTCTGAGGTTCTTTGCCAAGCGTGTGCTAACAGTTCGCTGTCTTAAACGTGGCCAACTCCAAAAATACAGGTGAAGGTTACCCCAGAAACGGACCCACTGCAAGCTGTGGGTGCCGCTGCCAGTAGGGCAGCGCCTCGGGCACCTCTGATCACCGAGGGTGCTGCGCTGTGTCCCCCATTCCCAGGAACGTTGAGCAAACTGGAGGGCTCGCAGCAGCAGAGCTCGAAGGGATTGTGTGTTTCCCTGTCCTTTGCGGGGGACAGCAGTGACTGTGATTGCAGACCCGTGTCAACCTCTGCCTGCGAGGGCCAGAATCCACTGACATCCCCCCTTACCTGCTTCTGCAGGGAAGGAGGTACCTCGGGAAGGCGGTTACAGCCCTTCCCCCCGATAGCAGCACCCCGAATGCCCGTTTGTTCTCCATGTAGCTGACTGCATCTCGCCTCTTCACCCCGGTGTCAGAAATGCTGAATTGTGAAATACCAGGAACTTGCCAGGGGCTGGGCAATGTTTCCAGGTGCGGATGGGCGTCATTTTACCGCTGAGTCTGGAAGCGGAATGGAGCAAGGGTGTGGGCAGCCCCACCGGCACGGTGAGCTACACGGGCTGCAGCGTTTCAGCCCCTTTGGAGGGGAACTCCTGCACAGAAACGTATACCTCTAGATGTGGTAAATTCCACCCATGACATTTGCCACACTGGCGGCTAATTTAGTTTGTTCTAGAACAGACACTCCTTGGGGACCTTTTGGCAAGCTGTGGCAGCCTGGAAAAGCCTCCATAGAGTCCGGTAGCTGCAAATGGGTTTCCTTGTGTCTACTTGCTTCATTTCTCCATGAAGAAGAGCTGCCGTTGCCATTAGACTCTCTTCTCATTGCTCTTTCGTATTTTTCAGCCTACAAGGAGAAAATGAAGGAGCTGTCTCTGCTCTCCCTCATCTGCTCCTGTTTCCACACCCAGCCCCATCCTAATACCATCTACCAGTATGGAGGTAGGTAACCAGCCCCCGCAGGAGCTGCAGCAGCGCTTGCAGGGTGCTTCTGCAGGCGTCACGCGCTGGGCTGTCCCATCCCGGAGCAGCAATCCGCGTCTCAGCCCGGGGTCTTTCCGTTTACTCTCCTTTCACAGTTTATTTTATTAACGTAACCCCCATTTTCCCAGAAGGAAACTGCTTGCAGAGGCTGTCTGCTTCGTGCTGGGGTGTCGTACAAGATGTTAACAGCAATGTGGCCTTTTTGTAATTATGCTGTGAATTTAAATTAATTGCGTTGACTTGGGGGGATGAAGCTGATCGCTAATTGGGAAATTTTGGAGATAGAACAGAATCACCCAGGTCAGGACATGGGAACGCCCTAATTCCTATGTGAAGAGCTCGGTGCCCTCAGGTGAACGCTCTCCTGAGTGTCACAGGTCCACAGAGCCTCTGGTTTTTCCTCCCCCAAAGATATGGAGGTGAAGCAGCTGGATAAGAGGGCGTCAGGCCAGAGCTTCGAAGTGATCCTGAAGTCCCCTTCAGACTTATCTCCCGAGAGCCCGATCCTTTCCTCCCCCCCCAAGAAGAAGGACCTGTCCCTGGAGGAGCTGCAGAGGAGGCTGGAGGCTGCAGAAGAGAGGAGGAAGGTAACAAGATGTCCTGTAGAAGCAGTGACTTTTCCGTGACAGAAATTGCACCAAACCCTAAAACTGGCTTAGCAGGAGCAATCTAAAATGGCTGGCAATAGTCGTTTTACATTTATTGTTATATTCCACTATAAATTGCCAGGTGAGACGTGGGAGTCATGGAGTGAGGTTCTGCAGCCTGGTTTAGGCAGGGAATTGGACTCCATCATCATCCTCCTCCTCCTGTTCTTAAAACCGCACAGTATGGGGTCCTCGCGGTCCTCCGCGGGTGACCTGCCCGCGGGGGCAGTTCTCGCCAGCTGATGCTGCAGAAGATGCAGCAGTTGTTCACACACCCAGCTTAAACTCCGAACCTAAAGACAGCCGTGTGTTTCTAACGGCTGGCTGCGCCACACTTTATTGTCAGTGCTGTATAAAATGCGTTCTGGTGAACGCTATTGAAAAGGAGAAAACCGGCAGAGTAAAATAAAGTATAAATGTTACGAATGTTGGTGGGTAAGGGGAGAGCAAGCTGAAATAATTCAAAGAATGAGGTGACACTCGGAGGGGGGACTCTGCCCCGCACAGATGTCACCTCGGCTTTGCTGAGCGGGTGGGCGCAGCGTCGCATCGCCTGCCCGCCTGCAGCCCTGGGCCCAGCAGACATTGCCCCATAGCAGCAACAAGGGGTCAAAGCATCTTCCCAGCAAGAGCGTTATGGGATGGCGGGGGGTGGCAGCGTGGTTTTGAGCAGAGGAGACGGTCAGAAAGCCTCTCTGGGGAGTTGAAGGCTGGGAGAGCCTCTTCGGTTGCCTGACGCGCCTCTCCCCACGCCTTTGCCCGGCAGACCCAGGAGGCTCAGGTGCTGAAGCAGCTGGCGGAGAAGCGGGAACACGAGCGGGAGGTGCTGCACAAGGCGCTGGAGGAGAACAACAACTTCAGCCGCCTGGCCGAGGAGAAGCTCAACTACAAGATGGAGCTGAGCAGGGAGATCCGCGAAGCACATCTCGCCGCCTTGAGGGAGCGGCTCCGCGAGAAGGCGAGTGCGATGCCCCGGAGCGGGCTGGGTGCTGGTGCCCGGGGGGGGCGTTGGGGTCTGGTCCTTGCGGGGTCGTCCCAGGGCGATGGGCACAGGGGAGCGGGCGTTTCGTTGCTGGTGGAAAGCGGGCTGTGGAGCAGCTCCGCTCCGGAGCAGCACGAGGCGGGGGGATGTGTCCTTCAAGGTCAGTAGAGAAAATACCGTCGGGCTGATCTTGAGAAGTGCAAGCTGAAAGGCACAGGATCAGGCCCACTCCGTGGCCGGGGGCCGCGTGGCCGCAGGGCTTTGCAGAGAACCGTGAACGCGTTCGCTGTAGCTTTGCGTCACCTCCGGGCTCCCGCAGGCGAGATGCTTCGCTCCTTGCAGGCGTAACCCACCGTCCTCGGGGTGTGTGGGATGGGAAACTGGTCTCTTTTTTTTTGTCTGGTGCAAACCCTGTGTGCAGGAGAGAAGGAAAACAGAGACTGCAAGAGCAGAAGGTGTTAGCCCGGTGTCGTCTCTCCCGTCTTTGCAGGAACTGCACGCAGCTGAAGTTCGCAGGAACAAGGAACAGCGGGAGGAGATCTCTGGATAAAGGGCTTTTCTACACATCTAGCACCTGATTCCTGTTAACAAACCAACCAATCGGCCAACCAACACATTTTACTTTGTTTGTCTAGATGCAACATTCGGTTCTCCATCCCCCCTCCCCTGGTGTTCGTCCCCCAGCTACACGCTTCTGTCTCTGCATCCTTAATCGTCAGTACTTGTGGGGATTCACAGCTCATAGGGACCTCTAAGCAGAATAGCAACTAGTTCACACGAAATAGAGAATCGATCAGTCAATCGAACAGCTTCTTTGGAGGGTTTTGTCCTTTTTTAAAAAAATATTTCTTAAACTGATGTAAAAAAAAATTAAGATATTAATAAATTCAACCAGCAGTGTCACAGAGATACGGATTTCTTATCCGGGGCTTTTGCTCCTCTTGGTGTTTGCTCTGAGCCAAATATCAGTTTCAGAATAATGGGAAGTAAGTGATAATTTCTGTGTGTGAAGTGGCGTAGGGAACAGCCCCATGTTTGCCCGTGGTAGGAGGGAGGAACCAGCGAGGGCTGGGACGGCTCAGGGGTGGGGGCATGCAGCCCCCCGTCCCTTGGCTGTGTCTGGAGCCGGCGCAGGCAGTGACCCAAGGTCCTCGTCTGTGGATGATTCTTTGATAGCCCGTGTGAAAGCAGGAGAGG